ACATTAGATCATGTGTTTATTTTTGTAGGGACGACAGGCCCTAGTGTGGAAAATGTCCTTCGGCCTTTTGTTTTGTTAGTCCCTATCGCCACCTAGTGGACACTCTTTGTCAGCACGAAACAGAAAATGGATACGTCATACTAAACCCTCTGGGGAGTTTCATCAAATCATTCTGTATTGTCTGTGCGCTGTTTGAATAGATGGAATGGCAGAATGTGGCGGACTAAAATGCACTAAAATTAGGTTTCAATAAATTTGTAAAACCAACCTGTGAAAAATAGTAAAATGCTGTCATCGGGACGCACACCACGTGATCGGAGCGCGTACTACAGGAAGACACACCCCAGCCTGACCCCATACGTCATTCATAAGTATGAAGATATGTTTTTTCCTGTATGAATCTACTCTACATACATGTAGAAGTGTCGATTTAGACTATCAGTGTATATTTATGAATTGAATCACTTATAGAAAACCAAACGCCCTCTAAGCAGATCACAGTAAAGTGAGAGGTATATATACAGGTTTTCCATGTTGGACAGTCGCACCGGCTTAGCTCAGTGGTTACTTCCCACGACTAAAGTTTCTCTCTGACGGTCCATGGACCATTGAGTTCAACCACGGGCGCTGTCCGGTGCTTTTGTCTTTCCAAGTGCCATGTTATTGTAAAAAGATTTTATCTGATTATGGAATATTTTTGTTTTGTATGGGATTACGAAATGCGAACCCAACTTTAAATGAGATAAATAGATGAATGAATGTATTGTCGAAACTGGCATTTGTGCCACTACCGAACACAAAGTAACTTGTGAGTGAACAATAACTTAGAAATGCAGCTCTTTATCCAGTAGAAGTCGCTATATAATCCGTTTTTCCATGATCAAAAATAAAACCATGTGGTGTTGGTTCATAAACTTTACTGTTTTTTGCATCTGTAACTCATGACATCAGATGGAAAGTGACTAATTAATTTGCTAGAATATTTATTAGTTAGGAAACTAAAGGAAATGTATCCGTATCTTTTCCAATAGTCATTTCATATTTGCTAAAAGTTAAAACGGTTAGGAAATAGTGCATTTGCGATTTAGTTGGAGGCATATACACGGATAGGCTTTGGGAAATAACAAAACAACCATAAAAAACGTTCCACCGAGGCTTCTAATAAGCGATATTCGACATTCGACGTCTTTTACCTAGAGGCGTTGCCTTTCTTACAGCTGCTGTTATGCGGTTAAATATCCGGCAGATGGCGCTATAGGATCAGGAATGAATTTGGAGGTAAAGAATTACTTTGACCCTCAAGGAGGACAAAGTAACAGCAGTAACCTTGTTGTTCAGAACAGTGGCCAAATATAGGGTAAAATGATTTACTCCAAATGCTTGTTTATCTTACTTTCTTAAAGAAAAAAAATGTGGTTAGCATAGTTTCACAGTTTGTCTCATTATCTGTTTATGACATTGGCCTAAGACATACTGCTTGCACAAGTCACAACTTTGGATGTTTATGTGCGAATTTCACTATTTAAAATCAACCAAACATGTATTTGAGCACGTAATTGGTTTTCCAACAGAGAAGTCTGAATCATAAGTGTTTTATAGCTTCAAAAATAGTTTTTAATAATAAAATTTTTAGGAATACGTGTTATTTATATCAGAAGCACTCTTGGCTGGGGGCATTGCAAAGTTACTTGTGCGGAAGTCAGGACTCCTTGTTGCATGGTTGTCGTGATGCTTCAGACAGCAGCTGATCAGGCCGGAGCATCAGCTCAGAGGAATGTCAGTTCATTCAACTGTAGAAAATAGTTCTGACTCTGTCACAGTGGGTCCTGAGATGAACCGCTCGCTTCAGACCCTTCAGCAACATATTAATCAGAATAAAGTCAGGACTTTGGCTTGGAGATCAAAAACTATAGAGATACAAATATTGATCTATACTAGTTGTTATTTAACTATTCATTGAAGACCAACTTGTGTAATTTGTTGCCTCGGTGGATGTAACTTTATTTTGATAATTAGTTTACAAACAGATATTATTGCATCTTGTCTTGGAACTTTCTTGTCAAATTATGATTTTTTGTGTCCAATAGGTGATGGCAGTTGTTCAGCTTTTTTGTGATGTTCTGAGAAAAACAAAAGCTTCACAAACAAGCAGTAAAGCCCAGTATTTTATAGTTCCCTTTTATAGTTGAGTAAACTGGGGTGTTCACACTAACTTAATTAAATCTCATAGAATGATCGTCAGCATTTGACTCAAATATGCCTTTAGTTTACCTGCAGTGGCCTGCTTTCTGCAACAATTCATGGAAAAGAAAATACATGCGCAGGTGTAAAGCAGAGTGATAATTTTGCACCATCTAAACACGAAGTACTTAATAATTAGGCACCGAACACAATATAAGTAAACTATTGTTCAAAGTGTGCAGATTGTGCTTCTCTTCTGCTGCTCTTCAACAACACGACTGAGCTAATTACTGCACCACATTTCCACACTTCAAGATATTTTCCAGCAGATGGCGCCATTGAACCACGAATGATTAAAAAAAAGAGGGTTAATTTGCCCGGCTTGTCATGAGCCTAAAGGAAATCAGCCTGCCAGTGTTGCGTCGAAGGCATTTGGAGAAAAAAGTTACTTTCTTATATTTATATTGCCTAACGGCTGAATTTAGAAGTTCATATAAAGTATAAATCGTCGTCCTTCGGTCCCTCCCCTCCAACCATTCCACCACATCATCCCCTGACACACTTCAGGGAGTGCAATGACGGGTCACGGTCAGGTGGCTGTTGAGAAGCAGTTCAGAGAAAGTAATGACTGTCTTCCTGTCGGACAATGGGGTTGAGCAAGGCGATAGGGGTGGATGAGAGCGGCTTAATGCTCCGTGTAATGCATGTTAATGTAACATGCACCGAGGGAGCGCTGGTCGGAGAGCGGTGGGATTATTTATCACAAAACATTTGTATTCTTCCGTCGGAGAACGGTTGATCCCGGATAGCTGCACACTAATCCTTCACTCCGTTAATTAAAAAGAAGGGAAAAGCAATGGAACTGGTAGAGGGGTTTTTTCCCTTCTTTTTCCAGAAATGATTACATTTCTGGAGAAGCTTAACCATCTGCTTGAGGTTAAGTCTACAAGCAGATTGTGTTTTCTGCTTATTTAAACCTGGGGATTTTAGTTTTTTCTGTTTTTTTTCCTGAAAAGGGGGAGGGTGGTGCATGTTGCATCTCGGGGCTGTTTGTTGGATAGATTCAAACTTTTGTTGCAGAGGAAAGGATAACTGATATTTCCAAACTTCCTTTGAATCACGTTTATACCCGTAATTATATATTTTTACTGAACAAGGATTATTCTGAAACATGCATCCCCTGATTACTAGTTCTTCTCCCATTTGAATAACAGAGAAATGAAACAAACCTTATTTCAAAGTGGAGGCCCCCTGATAGCCTCGTTTGATTTTCTTTCTTTTTTGTTTAGCTGAAAAGATCACAGTAAGACATCTGCATGGCTTTGTTTTTCCAGTGGCTTTCACAGAAGAGCAGCCACCATCCCCATTTTCAACTGAGGATATATTTCTTGGGTTTTTAGGGCAATTTAATAGAAATGGTTGTGTCTAGAAAATGCTGCCTATAAGGATGGAGCAAATTTAGTTTCTTCTTTCTCTCTCATCACCCCCCCCCCCTCTCTTTGGAGTAGCTAAGTCCAACGGTGCCCGGGGGCCAAGGCTGTGTCGTCAGTACCAAGAACACACTTTCACATTTCAATCCACAGTTTCACATTAGGATGCTGCTCGTGTGTTTCTGGAGACGAACTCGAATTCACAAAGGCATCCTTTAATTCCCCTTCACTCTTCCTTTCCCACTCTGTGTCCTTCAGTGGTTGTCTAACTGACCAGTATTAACAGGGAGAAGATTAGATCTGAACAAACACGTGCCGTGCCCTATAAAGGCTTCACTGCTTTATGGTATGAAAAGGATGGTAGTAGTAATTTTATCTAATGGTGTTGCATATAATCTGATGTCCTCATATCTCAACATCCATGCTCGCCTTTTTTTGTCTCTTCAAATGGTGTAAACACGTCGCCTATCGGGGATATTCACAAAATCTCAAATATAATACCTGATTAGAGAGGAAGTGTGATTAAAGCTTTATGGCATTGCTTTTATGTTGATTGTGTTGATACGTGTTCAGATCTCTTTAAGCGAATTAAAGTCATGTAATGCGTATTTGTCTATCCTTGATTGTAAGAGTAATCATTTTAAGCTTCACAAAGTAGCTCACACTGATTTGAATGTTGATTAAAAATGAATATCCTGACCTATCAAAGATTCTTTTTGTAAAAGCCCATTTCGTCTGTGATGATTAATGAATGGGACTGTTTTGCAGTGCGGGCATTCATCTTCAAAGGGCTCTAATTAAAAAGTATTATTAAGTCTCTGGAGCCTACTGGTAGTGGCCACTGGGCCATTTGAGGCAAAGCCAATGACAGCGCTGTGGCGCATGGGGAAACCTCCGACTTTATTATTTTCCAAAGCTATTATGGCCTTATATCCAAACTTAGTTCAATCATGTTGGCTTTCACTGTCATCCTGAAAGACACAGTGGACACTTAGACATAACCTTATCCGCGCTAATCTGATAAAAGCAGCCTAGAAAACGACACCCACAACACAGTTCGCCTCCTTATCCAAATCCGTCTTTGACGTCTGGTATCAAACTTCCACCCTCACGTCTCTTTAATGGGTCAGACATAGGGATGTGAAAGGGTTAAACGTCTACAGTAATTAGAGTCGTACTTTGCGTTGGCGTCCTCCAATACGGAGAAGCGAGAATCAACGTCCACCCCCTCCATCTCTCTTCCTCTCTCTTACTGTCAAACACACACACATACACACCCAAACTCCCTCTCTCTTTCTCCCTCTCTCTCTCCCTCTCTCTCATTCTCTCTCTTTCGCACACACACGCCTCCCCACCAGCTTCTCCGAGTGCCTAATACACTGGAAAATCAAAGCGCAAGCCTCCCCCGTTCACACATCATCAGTGTTGCGCGCGGGGCACAACACAGAGAAGAGCCTTCGTTGCCCTCTTCTTCGCGGCTCTCTCTTCAGAATTCTGTAAAGTTATCCACACATATAGATGTCTCAAATATACATCTGAAGATTTTGTTCTCTGACTTGCGACGAATCCCTCCTGTTTTTACTTTGTAGCTGCATAGCTCAAGGGCTTTATGAGCTGAGAGATGTCTGGGTGAGGTGATTTTTACGCACGCTGCTGAGATGGATCCCAGACTCTCCAGAGGCAGCTGGGTGCCGGTGACTGGTCTGGTTATAAGTCTGCTTCTGTGTGCATGTGTTGTGGACTTGGTTCTTGCACAAATTCGGTACTCAATTCCCGAAGAGCTGGAACATGGAGCCTTTGTGGGCAACATCGCGGAGGACCTGGGTTTGGATGTGGCCAAGCTATCAGCGCGTCGGTTTCGAATCGTCTCCGGGGCAAAGAAGCAGTATTTAGAAGTCAACTTGGAAAACGGCATCCTCTTTGTGAACGAAAAGATAGACAGAGAGGAGCTGTGTGAACGAAGTCCCGGCTGCTTTCTGCACTTACAAGTGGTCATTGAAAACCCACTCGAGCTGTACAGAGTGGAAGTTGAGATTTTAGATGTAAACGACAACTCTCCCAGTTTCCCGTGGAGTGAATTTAACCTTGACATCACGGAATCTGCTGCGCCAGGTTCCCGTTTCCCGTTAGAGAGCGCGCAGGACCAGGACGTGGGCACCAACTCTCTGCGCTCCTACCAGCTGAGCGCAAACGAACACTTCATACTGAATATACAGACGCGCAACGATGGAAGCAAGTTTGCGGAGCTCGTGCTGGACAACCCTCTGGACCGGGAACAGCAGAAAAAGCACGAAATGGTTCTAACTGCCTATGACGGAGGGTCACCTGAACGGTCCGGGACAGCGTTGATAACTATTACAGTGCTGGACGCCAACGACAACGTGCCTGTGTTTGACCGCTCCGTTTACCGAGCGAGCCTGGTGGAGAACGCACCGCGGGGAACGCTGGTGCTGAAACTAAACGCCACAGACTTGGATGAAGGTTCGAACGGGGAGGTCATTTATGCCTTCAGCGGGCACGCACCGCTGAAGGTGCGCGAGCTGTTCAGCGTGGACCCGTACATGGGTGAGATCCGAGTCAAGGGCGTTGTGGACTATGAGAAAGCCAGTGTTTATGAGTTGTACGTGCAGGCAAAAGACAGGGGACCGTCAGCGGTGGCGGTTCACGGCAAAGTACTGGTGGACATCCTGGATGTGAATGACAACGCGCCCGAAGTCATCCTCACCTCTGTGTCTACACCTGTCCAGGAAGACGCCCCGCCGGGCACCGTGATAGCCGTGATAAGCGTGATGGACCGGGACTCGGGAGAGAACGGGAACGTGGACTGTCAAATTCCGAACAACGTTCCCTTTCAGCTCCACTCATCTTTCAAAAACTATTATACTCTGGTGACAAGCGAGTTCCTGGACAGAGAAACGATGTCTGAGTACAACATAACTCTCACGGCGCGGGACTTGGGCTCTCCTTCTCTGTCCACCAGAAAAACAATCCTTGTTCAAGTGTCTGACATTAACGACAACCCCCCGCGGTTCTCCCAACCTTCATACACAGTTTATGTGACCGAAAATAACGCTCCGGGCGCTTCCATTTGCTCTGTCTCTGCATTTGACCCTGATTCTAACCAGAACGCCTATCTGTCTTATTCTATTCTCGAGGGTCAGATTCAGGGCATGCCTGTGTCCACTTATGTCTCAATCAACTCGGACAACGGAAATATCTACGCTCTGCGCTCTTTCGATTACGAGCAACTTAGAAACTTTCAGATTCTGGTTCAGGCACAGGACGCCGGCTTCCCCCCGCTCGCGAGCAATGTCACAGTGAACGTCTTTGTGTTGGACCAGAACGACAACGCACCTGTCATCGTATCGCCGCTGCCCAAAAACGGCACCGTGGCCACAGAGGTGGTTCCACGGTCCGTGGACGCGGGGTATTTGGTCGCCAAAATAACGGCGTTGGACGCGGACGCTGGGCAGAACTCAAGGCTGTCCTACCAGGTCGTTCAAGCCACAGACCCGGGGCTGTTCAGCGTGGCTCTGTACACGGGGGAAATCCGGACCATTCGCCGCTTGGTAGAAAAAGACGCAACAAGGCAAAGACTAGTCATATTAGTCAAGGACAATGGACAGCCGCCGCTTTCCGCCACCGTCTCCATTGTCCTGACAGTGGTAGACAGCGTGCCCGAGTCGCTGTCAGATTTCGGAGACCTCACACTCAGCCCACAGCCCCCTTCCAACCTCGCCCTGTACTTGATCGTGTCACTGAGCACGATATCCTTAATATTCCTGGTGGCTATTATCGTGCTGGCCGCGGTCAAGTGTTACAAGGACAGGGAGACCCACAGCGGCTACGACCTGCCCCCGTTAGCCTGCTGCTGCTGCGGGGGGTTTCAGGCGGAGCCTCCACCTGAGGTGTTCAAAAAATCCAATCTCAACCTGCAGATTTCGTCTGCCGCCAAAGTGCCCACGAACTGTATGGAGGTGAATGGAAATAGCAGTCTCTCTCAGTCATATTGTTATAAAGTGTGTCTAACCCCCGAATCAGCCAAAAGTGACTTTATGTTTCTGAAGCCGTGCAGCCCGAGCAGCACACCGAGGAACAACGAGGCGAAGAGCGCGGAAAACTCGTGGAACGCGCACAGCCGGAGCGCGTCTGTGAACAACGGAGCAACTACTCCCAGCGAGGTATAGTCATCTCACAATGTAGAATAAGAACAAGGGAGGGCGTGCTGTTCTCCTCACCTGGCATTGTCTAGTCAAATAAAAACACATCAGCGTAAGAACCTACACTGTGACATCCCATCTGATGAAGGTCATATCAAATGTGTCACACAGGTTTGAAGTCAACTTGCAAAAAAAAACAAAAAAAAACGAGTCATTCTTATCTCCTTTGAAAATATTACACAGCTTATCATTTTTCAATATCATTCTAAGATAATAATTAATCTTCGTTGTGATGCCCGTGGTAATGTTTAGCACCAGGGGAGCGAAATAAGATGACGTGAGATTACAATTTAATTGACTCGTCAATGAAAGTGTAAAGTCCCATTTTGCAAGGAGCAAATGATGTGCGCAGACCGTGTCTTTCGATGAAGTGGGATGTCAGTTACTGTGTAAGAGAAAGGAGAGTGCAATTGAAGCTGTCCCCCTTTTCAATTCAAGCGTTTAACAATAATGCACAGAACAGTGACCAAAAAAAAAAAGTGACATGTGTAAATAAACAGCCAGGGTCACCTGTCATGGGATAGGGTGGACTCATAAGCAACTGCTTTTTTTTAAAAAGGAAAACTAGGTTAATACACATCATAACGTATAGTTGGACTTCAGAAGTCTTGTTGACCAGCCAATTTTGCCTCGCGCCTTCTTGCTCCCAAACTAACAATATAGGACAGATAACCTCGCTAACTATGCCTCAAGGGCACAAGCACAACCGTATCGCTCCACTACACACAATGTGGCGTATTCACAAGGGGGTTGGGGGTAGGGGGGGGGTTGTCAATTATTGATGAGAAATGGCAAATGGCCGGTTTTGGAGAGACGGGGAGGACATCGTTGTGGGGAGGGGGGCAAGGAGAAGGAGGGGGTGCAAGGACACGGCTGGACTGAGACGTGGGTTGCCTGTAGATTGGCCCCGGCGCTGTCCTCTGAATGTGAGGAGAGAGGGAGGCAGAGATGAGGCTTCATATTTGTCAAGCGAGGGAGGGGAGCAGGAGGAGGAGGGCTGTAATCGAAGAAGGAGGAGGGAAGAAGACAATGAAAGAGGGCATTTAGAGCGGCGGCATGTCTACACGCGTGTTTTCTGATTCTAATAGGCGGAGCAGCAGAACATTAATGTGTAATGCTGATATTCGTCTCGGCGTGTTCCTCAAAAACACAGAGGGAGAAATAAGCCAGAGCCCTCTTACCAAAACTCCGCCAGGCAAAGTGAGAAATGTTTCTGGCAGAAACACCTCTGGCCACAAGAGAAATTTCGAGGTCACACTGATTGTTCTGCCTGTGGGTATGCTCCTTCAGGAGAATGTGTCCTTCCTCTTATTAATTGGCTCCACTAATTCACCCGGATTCCCTCAACTTACACTCACGAGTCCCCGTGAGGTCGTCCGTGACACATAAAAGACGAATCACAGAAAAAAAAAAACTATGTGAACATTCCTTGGAGCAAGTTCACATCCCTGCTTCACTTGATGGATTCAAGGTGAAAACGAAAAGACACATTCGAGCACGCAAAAAAAAAGGAGCATTAATATTTACTATGCTTCGCCGAAAAAGTGCACCTACAACTGCAAGGGCTACAAAGTTTTCAAAGCTTTCTTTGAGACTTTTAATTAAAAACCTTGCTCGGGGAGCATCAGGCAAATATTAACGTAAAATGAAGCATAAAATCCACGAAACAATGACGTGTGTAATTTTCTTAATTTCCTCCCCGGCACAGTTTCCTTTGATGATTAAAATCATGTTTCGTTTCATCCCGGTGGGGTTCTAATTGGTTTTATGCGTAGCTGGCGAGAAGAGTATTTTGAATACCGATTGTAATAACACGCTTACGTCGCATTCTCTCCGTTAACAACTTTGGGTGAATTAATAGAGCGTAGAATCGATACTATGAGCAGAAAATCCGGAATAAATATCACTCGAATGCCCCTTTTCACCCTCCCCGCCACGCAGCAGAGGATAAAAGCAAAATTTAGAAACAGGCGAGCTGTGGCTCAAGGCATCTTCTGCAAAATATGCGTTCTAAAAAATATCCACAGGGTGGCAGCCACGATCCACCGGAAAATTGTCTCTTATTCAGGAAAAACAGCAGACTGCTCCTGTCAGTTCCCACTGACCTTTATGATACGAGATTGGACCGTGAACAGACATCGTGTGTCAGCAAACCTGGTAGCATGGTCTAAAAGAGGACATAGCTGACAGTACAGGGATTATTTATGCTTTAACCTTTCCAGGGAAATTGTATTAAATGTTGCTGAACAAATGCCTGTCTTTTTCCTCCAGCTGAAGCAACCAAATACAGACTGGACTCTAACCAAGAATCAAAACTCCTCCATCAAAAGGTATCATGCTAAAATGATGAACTCAGTTAAATTATTTCTTTAAAAACTTAAACACATTGGTAAAAATAAAATGTGCATTCTTTGTCATATTAAATTGCTCTCTTTTTTTGTTTCTAAGTTACAACTCCATCAACATGGATGGCACCCTGATGCGGAAGGCCATGCATGCAGACCCGGACAACTATGTCACTTCCATGACACCTGGGCAGTACTGGACGTGGGGGACTCACATGAAAGGCATGAAAGGTGAGATATGGTCCACCAGAATGAGCTTTCATCAAAACTGTATTCAGTCACAGTGCTATTATGTACCCAGGCCGCAGTACTTTGCCTTACAAATCCTCTCCTTTTTCCCATAAACATTTTTTACTGCACCCTTCTATGCTATCAACACAGAAAAAAAAGGGTAATTAAGTGGCCGAAAGTTGCTATTTTCTGTTTCAGCTCCATGTAACTGTTTATAGGACTGTTTATAAAAACAACTACAAAACTCTTGGACCACAATTTACATTAGTGTGATGCAAATGAAAAATGCTCTTTGGCTGTAAGGTGACTCTTGTTTAATAAGTACTTGCCTCTTCTGTCCTGTGTCCTCACAGACTTCAAGATGTCTCCCTCCCCCAGCGGGCTCCCCCCTCGCCCTTGGACTCCTCGGTGCACCCCTCCACCCCAACAGCAGCAGCCATCGATCCCCTCCCACCAACACCCACACCCACACCCACACCCACACCCACACCCGCCGCCCGACTACCACCACAACGTGTACATCCCCGGAACTCCGTCAGGCTTTTGCACCCTACGGCCCACCGCCCAGCGAAGTGAGCTGGATGTCCACAACTCCTTCTCTACTTTTGGTAAAAGGCGGCGCCTTCAGATGTCGCCACAGGGAGAAGCTGCAATGATCAATAATGACCTGTACAATGACTGACTTTTCAGTGACTAACTGAATGGACACCTGAAATGATGCGTAACCTCATAAGAAAACAAAAGGAGTGACCATTTTCACATATAAATCAATCAACATATGAATAATAGGTGGTGTGTAAATGAATTGGACAATCTATATTTGAAGAAGGCCGATGCCTATCTATGTGAAATGCCACTGCAACATTATCTAAATGTGTCTGTTCTTATTGTCAATACTTCTATTTCTGTCATTACTATGATTATAATTATTATTTAGACAATCAAACTGGAGCAGCAATTCCACCCAAAATATTTTTAAAAGCATATGTGAACATTGATTTTGCACATTCTTATGAATTTATATTTTTGTTTTTTATTGGAAAGCCTTTCTGTTTTTTATGTTGGATTTCTTTCGAAGCTTGTGTAAATATGACAAAATGTTATGTAAATGTATATGCAAGCTGCTATACGAAGCAAGCTAATGTAATGATGGGTGATTTTTGTTCCCCACATATGTACTGTATACATTTATGAAAATAAAGTATTTTTTTCACCAAGTCTCCTCTACATCTCTTAAATATGCATTAATCCAAATACCGCAAGGTTCGACTCATCCCACGCAACCAAACACAGATTCATACGCATACATAAATCTTTTTGATGTAAGTTTCAAAGATCTACGTTCAATGAACTTGAGTCAATAATTTTGGGGTGAAAAAGTTCCGCAGTTGCCCTTACAATGAAGGAAAGCTTTTTGCCTTGGTAAGCTGTTTTCAACAGTGAGGAATAAACATAGTAAAATGCTAACATATGCTAATTTGAGTGCTTGCATTTCCATTTGCCCACAGAGAATACTGGGGTTCATTAACTGAACAAACACAACCTCCTCTCTCAAAATATCACTTTAATTAAGACTACGAACATGAATACAAGTGTCAGGGGAAGTGGGGGATCAACTCCAAATGCCACACCTGAATAAAAACTACAGGGGCCTGTGGTTTTTCTCCCTCACTGCCCTTTTACATCTTACTTCTCAGGGAATTAGTTTCTACCAGCAACAGATGAGGATGGGCCACTGGCCAGAAATGAGCAGGGTAATTAGGTCATACCATGGCTTGAATTAAAAATAATTTTGTTAATAAGGGAACCAGTGTCCACAGAGACCGGGCTGGGGGGGTGGGGGGGCTGGCTAACCTTCTCTGCAGTAAGGTGATCCACTGGGATGACTGAAGGGGCAGCCACATTTAGGTCAGCTTGGCTTATTTTAAGAATGGTGAATTGAACAGCTTAGAGAGGAGTTGAAGAGATGTATCATACAAATAAAAGCTACGGATGTATAATGTCTACAAAAAACACTAGTGCAGTGGCAGGATTAAACTTATTTTTTATTTTATTTAAAAGTTTTTAATGGGTGAGAGAATTAGATGTTTAGGTAACAGTGAAAAACAAAACAAAAACAAAAGAAACATCAGATTCTGGTGCTCCTTTTTCTAACCCATCGAAGTGGGAACTGTCCTGTGATGTAGTGCTGAAGTGACAGTGACAGTGGTCTTTTCCCCACAGCTGTAATGTATGCATGTGTCCACCAGAGGGCGCGTCAAACCACCATCCACAGAGTACAGTTTCATAAATCCAATTTATACGTAATAAAAAGTGTTTTTCTTGTTCGTGTTCAAGTCTTTTAAAAAAAATTTTTTTTTCTGCATTTGTGGATGAAGTCATCAGATTGTTCATAGATGAAGCATAACACATACATTAAAAGAGGCAGTGGGGGGACTGTTAACAGTTTCAAATCTGTAAAATAAATATTCTAAAAGCTAAAATGATATGAACGATTTGCGCATGTTAAACTGTAATAATGTCTAAGTAATTTAAGATCACAAATAGATGTTGTACATTGTAGTACGACAAATTAACTACGAGCGGTATTTGTAGTACTTTGAAACTGTTTCAGAATTAATTTCTCTTGTTGAACATAAGCATCTCAATTTACTATTTCTGAAAAATTTAAATATTTTTTGTCCCGTTCTGTTTAGAGAATATGATAACGAGAGATTAATCTATTCTTTCTTTTATTGAACAGCATTCCTGTGAGAAATGTCATCCCCAGGAAAAGAAGAACACAAAGTATTGTTTTTCATTATCATGACAATGTTATCATTGAACATACATTGATTTAAAATTCACTTGTATGGGTATTCATTTGAGATATACAGTAGGTTTGAATGCAGTAAAGTTCCGGACAGTGAAAGTTTATTTGACTATACAAAGAAAACTTCTCTATTAAAGAAAAATAACCCCTGAAACCCAATAAAGCCTGAAAAAAGGACAAATGAAACAGACATTATAACATTATCTGTAGTCTTTGTTTGTTATTTTGAGCAAAATGTAGAATACAAAAGAAAAATAATTTGATTTTCATGTGTTTGTAATAAAATGTCATCAAAATTTACATGTACACTAAAATGCTAAGAAAGGTGAAAAAATTGTAAGTTTTTAAACACTATTTTGAATATATGAAGATGCAATAGGTCTCAGGAATCTGTGTATTCATTATTATACTCATGATAATATAAAACAGCTTCTTCTTTGTAACATTGACTTTTGTCCAGCAGATGGCATCATTGAGTAAGAATCCCTTAGTCTCAAACATTTGGAAACATTTAGTGTCAGTGTGGAGTTCAGATTTTTTTTTAATCAGCTACCCCTCTAATAGTTGGATGTGTGCCTGAATTAGAGTTCAAAATAAGTACAAGAAGGCTCTAAAATATAGATATTGATGTTCGAGTTTTGTCAAGATAAACTTGACTAAAAGGGAACTGTTGAAGATTTTACCATCCCTTTCCTCGGTGTTCTGAATTATCGGAATTTTTGTGCTATCTTACTGAATTGAAGACATTTGTCAGCATCGAACTGCATATCAAAAGTTAAATTATGAATGATTTAAAGTATAATGAAACAGAATGCTCTGACTCTGTCGAGTCAACACTGCTACAACATTAATTTTGTTTGATTATACGGGAAAAAATTACCGTTACATTTGATTATGAATTCCTTGATCAAATAACTGTATCTTCTGAATCTAATGTCCATTAATAGTGATACCACTGCAACTTGAATAATTTGTTCAATTTTGAAAAAATTAAATCAATAAATCATGCACATCCAGTGCCTCGCATTTATTTATTTGTTTGTTCATTCATTTATTTATTTGTCAAATTCACACAAAACTCATTTGGATACAAACATTCTTCCAATATGATTGAAAAAAGAAAAACATGTTTTAAGACCTATACATTAGTACACATGACTTTAAAATGTTGATGAATATTATTGATTTACCCCATTTGATCGCTCTTGTCTAAACAACATAAAAGAGAAGCTGATGTTTGGGTGGTCACTGAAAAGGATGGCATGTTCTACTTATTCAAGAAAATGTAAAGTTTTTCTTTTGACAACATAGAAAGGGAAAAATGATTAAATGATACTACACAAAAGAGAGTTTGTACAGCTCTCACTTTGCCCGAAGTTGTCCCATGGAGTTAGGAGCACTGTGTGAGCTGAGCACCGATCAAATCACCATTTATCAAACACACAAATGTAGTAAATAGAAGAAAAAAAACGCTTAATGTGAAAAGAAAGCCCAGCTTTCGTTAAAGGGGTGTCAACACGCTGATTCATAGTCAGGGAATATGACAATCCAAACACATGACACTCTCCAACGAAGTTGAGCTACAAAGCTTTTGAAAAAGAATAACTACATTACTGTAAGCGAACTGTTAGTCACATGGTGTCACTGTTCACCACTGAGGCATAATGCAGCTCTTCTGTGGAATTATGACACACCTCTTTGGGTGTGTGGAACACACCGCTCTCTGGTTGACGTGCTTTTTATTTCTCACCAGTCCCATTTTCCAACAGATTATAGAAGAATTTACACAGGATTTAATTTTCATTTCAAAATCAACAAAACATCAAACCCTTTCAGAATTTGATACACGTGTATGTGAATTTAACAGGCGGAGGAGATGATGGCATTTTGGCCCGCTGTCTTTGTCTTGGTCGCAATATGTCCCGGCGCTTTGTGTGTGACACGGTACTCCATAGCCGAGGAGATGGAGCTGGGCTCTGTTGTGGCTAATCTTGCTGCGGATTTGGGACTCGAACCTGGAAGTTTGTCACAACGAGAGGTAAAGCTTGACATTTTCACCAATAGAAAATATCTAGATTTTAACAAAAAGACGGGAGAACTTTATATTTCGGAAAAAATGGACAGGGAATATCTTTGCCCGGCAAAACCTTCCTCCTGTTTTCTAAAGCTTGATTTCATAATAGAAAGCCCTTTACGCATTTTCAATATTGAACTTGAAATAACAGATATAAATGATAACGCTCCACATTTTCGACGAGAACGAGTGGAACTCGATGTGTCAGAGTCCGCAACACCGGGGGAAAGATTCTCTCTTCCGAATGCTGTCGATCCAGATGTTGGCATCAATACAATTAAAACATACAAGCTCAGTGCCAGCAGACATTTCACCATTGAAATTCAGACCGGTAGTGACGGAACTCAGTATGTGGATTTAGTGCTGACTAAATCCTTAGACAGAGAGGAGACAGCTGTTCATAAATTAATATTAACAGCTGAAGATGGAGGAGTGCCTGTGCGCTCCGGTACTGCCAATATTATAGTTAGAGTACAGGACACGAATGATAATCCTCCTCGGTTTGATCAGCAAATTTACTCCATAAACATGACCGAGAACTCCCCAATAGGAACATTGGTTATGAAGCTTAATGCTACAGATCTGGATGAGGGTCAAAATGCAGAGATTATATACTCGTTCACCCTTTATACGTCAGAAAAAACACAAGCGGTTTTTGCCCTGAATCCTAACACAGGGGTGATAACTGTCAAGGGGACAATAGATTACGAAGATATGAAATTTTATGAGATGCACATTGAGGCCAAAGATAAAGGGAAGCATCCCCTGTTGGGGCAGTGTAAAGTAGTTGTTCATGTCACAGATATGAATGATAATTACCCAGAAATAACTATACAGTCTGTTAAAAACACGGTGGCTGAAAATATACCAGTAGGAAGTGTTATTGCAGTGGTGGAAATAGGTGACAGAGACACTGGAGATAATGGAAAAGTAACCCTATTGATAAACAAGCCCATGCCTTTTATGCTAAACAAAACATCAGATAGGCCTGCACATTATAAACTCATAGTATCCGAACCCTTGGATCGGGAAACAGTATCTGAATATGATGTGACTCTGGTTGTGAAGGATGCAGGCACCCCCCCATTGTCTGATAATGAAACAATAATAGTGCATTTGTTAGATATAAATGACAACGCACCACGGTTCCCTCAGTCATTCTATACTATACCTGTGACAGAGAATAA